GAGGACCAAGCCACAGTTTAGAATCCAGATCCACGGTGTCCAGTAGTTATGCTACTAAGATGTGGAAAGACCCATCTCCACTTCAAGTAATCTCACTTCAGCAATGTAGAAGCTCCCAGTTTATCATCTGAGTTACTTTTTAATTGTTAGTTCAGTGGAGAATTATATGATATTTTTAAGAAGTGGGTTCTATTCCAGGTGCCATTGAATCATTTAGTGATTTTCTTCAAGCCACGCAACTTTTCAAATCCCTGAAAACAGGTATTAGTAAATTATTAGCTTTTGCTACATGGTTTGAGAACTTTAGGTGTTCAAGTTGCTATTAGCTTCTTATCACACATGAATTACTTCAGTCAGTGAATAGGCTTATTTTAAACTCCTAAAGTGAATGAAATGGTACCTTTAATGAAACCAGTCGTTTAGCTAACTTGAATACCTGCTTGTCACAAGGTCAGGTCCCAGGGGTGGCCATGACATTTCCCTGGAGGGTCCCTGACCAAAGCATCCCTAGGGCACCTTTCTGTCTTATCTGACATACCTTGATGATAAATATGATAATAGGGAGGCTGCCCACAGGCCTTTGCATGGCCCAGTTGCACTGAACCCCTGAACCTCCACCTAGGCTCCTTGCTGAGCATCATTCAATAGGTTTCCCCCAGATAGCACCACAAGCCTTAAGGGCTAATTGTGTGGCTCCAAGTCCACCCCATACCTCGCAGATGGCATCCATACAGGTGTACAACTCATTGCTGACACAGCCCCTCACTGGGTCTTCCAATTCCTCAGCCTCTTAGCCCTACTCCAGTTGCCAGACCCCCCTCAGTCTCTCCTCCATCCCCTCTCTGAGCCCTCAGACCCCTCTGTCTCACCCAACAACTCCAGTTTGCCAGACCCCTAGGTCTTTCCTATGGCCACTCTCTAGGCCCTCAGTTCCCCTTGGTCTCCTTCAACCAGTCACCGAGCTACTAGGTCCCTTGATCTTTCTCTTGGCCCCTCTCCAGGCTGTCAGCCCCCTTCTTGGTCCCTTGTCCTGGACCCTGTTATTGCTTCATTTCCAAGCTGCTCTTCAGGCCCTCAGACCCATCTGGCCCTGCAACATTCTCCTCACTGGGCTGCTGGACCCCTATAGTCCCACCATGCTCACTGGGCCTCACTGTAGGCCTCAGACCCCTTGCTGGGCCTCAGAACTCATGGACTTGGACCCCTCTGGTCCTACCCTCTATTTCCCAGCCCCTCACTGGTCCTCTAGACCCACATGGTCCTGGTCTTCCTTGGCCCCTCACTGTGCCTCTGGACCCACCTGGTCCTAGTTCTGATCTTCTCTGGCCCCTCACTGTGCTTCCAGACCCATATCAACTGCTTTTCTGTCAGGGTGTGCTTCCCAAGCCTTCCCCCTCCACAGGGTTATTTGCAAAGCAGTGGGAGCTGAGGCTTTCCAGTGCCCCATCCTCCCGTTTCCCTGGAGTGGCTCATGCATGGCATTTTATGGAGACTGCCCTGCCACAGGCAACCCCACCACACCAACCACCTCCAGTAGGGTGCAATTTGAGATCTTACTGTTCTTCAAATCATCCTGGTCTTATCTGTAACTCTTTGGTCTCTCTCCAAGATGCCCTACACCCCTTCTGGGCTACTAACCACTGCCCCTCCCCCCTGGCCCTGGCTCCATCTCACAACCAAGTCCTTTGTCTCTGGCCCCCAGCTCACTCTTGGACTCCTACCAGCTATCATCATACTGGGCTGCATGCTCCCTGTCCCCTCCCTCTTGTCTGTGGCCCCACATGGACCTTTGTACCTCTGCTAGGCCTTGGCCCCACCTCCAGGCCAGTGAAGACTCCAGACTCCCAGTTCCGTCAGTCTCTCACAGTGGTCTATTTCACCCTTCAGCCCTTCCTGGGCCCTGAACCCAGTATAGGCCAGTCAAGGTTCCCAGGGTCTGTCCTCCAACTACCAGCCCTCTCTTCTCTGTGGGTCTGCCCACTTGAGCCTCTCCATAGGTCACTCTCTCTCTCTTTCTCTCTCTTGCAGGTTCAGAGCCCTCCATAGGTCTTCCTTACTGCTGCCCTTCCTTCTCTGGGCTTTTCCTGAACCATCTTCTCAATAGGCCCCAGGCACTCAGCCCCCTTTTCAGGGCTCTGGACCCCACACTGCACCCCTAAGAACCTCCTCCATCCCCTTAGTTCCTACCCAAACCTCCAGATATTATTTTCCTTGCTGGAATTCAGGAGTAGTAATCTTCCTGCTGGGTGATGTTCCTACACCAGCTCCCAAGATGGCCCTGCTTTCAGGGTCTAGGCTTATACCCTGTCTAAGCCCAGCTTTCCTGTGATTGGATAACTCCTTTCAATCAAGTGACTCCTTTGACCAGGCCTAGCCTCACCTGCCAGCCCCCTGAGTCAGCTGACTCTGCCATTAGCTCTGACACGCACCTGCCAGTGGCTCAACAGGCTGCCTGACGTCTTAAGGTGGCAGGCACATCCAGTACCCTGCCACACTACTCCAAGTATCTAAGTTCCATCTTAATATGTCTTTTAATATATCCTTGTTCCTATGCTCTGGGGGCATTTATAGATGTGCTCCAGGAGGCAGGGGAGGTGCTTTCATTAGCAAGCCACACCAATTAGAAGCACCCGAGTGTCACATCACAAGGTATTGCATCATGTCATAATGTCCATACAATATTGCTTTTAACTAAAGCTCATTAAATGAGCTTTAGTTCAAAGCAACCTGCCACCATTTTTCAGTGTGGAGATGCTGATGTGCCGGAGGCTGCTGGAGCACATTAATTTCCACACCCCACTAGACTCTATTAATCAAGTCTGCTCTGATGTGCTGGATTACAGCTCATTGGAACAGCCTTCCTGCATGTGTATAAATACCCTGGGAGCCGAAAATTTAGCTCTGCTTGTTTTATCATGTCAGCATTAGTAAGAGCTTGAGGATCATCAGCTCTCTGAAAAATAGGAGCCATGTGGATCAGTGTTACAAACCAGATCTATAAGAGGCTTAAAAATTATCAAATGCTTTTAAATCAAAATTATCAAACCTTAGATGCTTCCAGATACTCTGCCCATAATTGTGACTGCTGATCTATCCCACTTCAGACTTGTTTTACAGAACAATAGTACTGGTGTAATAGGGGCCCCTATCCCTGTTACTGAGAGCAGGGCCAGGCAGTAGGGCTAAGGTTGCAGCAGGGCCCCAAACTGTAAAAGCTGCAAGCAATTTGACTTGGAATGAACTGCAAAGGGAAGAGGCTAAAGTGCATAGAGTTTAAGGGGAGGGTGGGGGCCACTAAGTGAGCGGAAGCCACAGTGGTTGGTGCTGTGTTGACTGAGTAGAACAAAAAAAGTAGTAATCATCTGAGGCCAGGATAGCCTGTCTAGAATAGGCATGGCACTTAGGAAGGCCTCTGTCTAGAACAGGCATGGTACCTAGGGAATTCTATCAGGAACAGAGATGACAGTGGACCACTGAGTCCAAGGGGAGCTGGGATTTCTCCCAAGATGCACTTGGGGGTCCCAGATATCCTGTTGGGAACAGGCAGACCATAAACGAACCCAGTGTGCAGAGGGAGTGACAGCCAAGCAAGCCAAAAGGGCTACAGTAAGGGGCAAGCAAGCCCCTCAGACTAAGGTGGGGCCAACAAGCCAAAGTCTAGGTAAGCCTAATTGGGTCTAATTAGATTAGATTGAATAGAATGAACCTGGGAGGCCTTAGTTGGTAGGGGTCTCTTGAACCAAGCATTCAGCCAGATTGGCTGCCCAGTGTTGAATAGGGTACAGCAAGGCACCTAAAGCTAAACTCTGATTTTCTGAAGGCAGTTTCCCAAATTTATATTAATTTTACTTCCACATATGGCAGGTGAGGGTGGGGCAGTGCCCTTATAATCAGGAGTATACAATGTACCTAATGTGGCTCATTGGAGGTGCCACAGGTGCCTTTAGAGGCAGTCCTGTTACAACTCAAATACAAAGAACACAGTCAGAACATATTTTCTAAACCAGTGTCTCTCAACCAGTGGGACACGTCCCACTGGTCGGATGCAAAGGTCATGTAGGTAGGACGATCTGAAAAAGTGGCATTCCTGAGAAAGGTAGGGAACCTGTAGACTCGAGATTCTGTGGGGTACATTTCTTGGAAAAAGTGTGTGTGTGTGTGGGGGGGGTATTATGGTGGGACCAGGCTTTTTGACAAAATGGCTGGTAGGATGTAAGATGCAAAAGGTTGAGAACCGCTGTTTTAAACTTTATTCCTGTAGACATTGAGGCACTAGAATGTTGTGTTTTAGGTTAACAGCACTGTTTTATTAGTGCTAATTGGAGTTTTGTAGCCAATATCCTGAAACACTTGATTAACATTATATCAGGCTTTTTATGGTTTGACAGAAGGATGAAACTGAAAGCTGACTGACCTTAGCTATAGCCTTTCTAGTGAAAAGCTGCAATTATTCTTTCATTCTCTTTCTCTGGTTTTAACAGTTTCACAAATGAGCTAGGAAAACAAATCTTCATCTCAAATAGTTTAGGAAGAATATCTGTGCAGCCTGCATGCTCACTGTCATAGTTTCTCTACTATACTCCAAAATACCTTTCACTTAAGGCTTCTGAAATACACTGTGTGAAAGTAGTATAATGACTTGCCCACATTTTACCACTGCCTTTTTTTCCAGCTTATAGCAGTGTTCCCTTTGCTTTCCCCATTTGTACTGGTTTTGGTACAAATCCTATTGCATACAAAAGTGTCTGCACAAGGAAACAATTGAGCCAACATTGAAATGAATTCCACCCAGTGGAAACATTCCATTCATAGAGCTTTGAGGATGACCAATATAGCAGTCTAGGCAGGCAGAAGACATCATTGAAAGACAGCAGGTTTGAATAACATCTGATGGAAACAGTAATCACTAAAGTGGTGGTGTATAATGGATAGATAAATAAATAAAAGGGGCATACTTCAATTTAATTACAATATTGATTTAAACATCATGTTGGTTTTAGTTGGAGAGAGTCCTAGAGAATGCCCAGCAATCACTGATTTTGTGTGTTGGAACAAGAATTGCATTGAGTCTCACCTTGTTTGTGACTACAAACCAGACTGTGAGGACCAATCTGATGAAGCTGACTGCAGTAAGTACCTCTCTATGTATTAATATGAGCTCCAATTAAAATGTTAACCTTAAATGCTGTAATGTAGCTTAGATGGATTCACACAGCTGCTCAGAAGATAATTACAAGCAGATCTCCTTCTCCCCTGCTCCTCCAACGCACAAGGTTTGACATTTTCAGATCCTCAGAGACATTTGCTGAATGAAAATATTTAAATGTGATTTAGTCACAAAGGTGTAACATCCAAAACAAAGACGGAATAGGAAACCATGTTCACTTTTCTTTAAGGAACAAAATCCATGGATTACTCTACAAATTGCTTATAAGAAGAAATGTAAACTCATTTATTAATTTGAAAATATTTTGAGCTGTCAACATTAAAGGGAGAAGCCAAATAAGCAAACTGATATGAATATAGATTCGTTTAGAGTACAGTTGTACTCCAGCAAGTGACTATGTAGAAATGACATAATCTTACCCTTCAGATCAACTCTGTGTATGTGCTTGGAATGCTATCTGACTTGCATTTTCATTGTACTGACAAAATAGGATAGAATTGCTCTTCCCTCCTACTATAGCAGCAGAAGCAACAAAACAGAAAGTGTCACCTGGGTTATCTTCTGTTTTCATTATCAACAGAATTATTTGATAAAATACACCTATGTGACCCCAGTGAAGGCTAAGGCCTAATTTGACCTGCACAACATCTGTACTGATGATGTCTCTAGAAGGACCAAACTTAACTTCTGAAACCTAGATAAGTGAAAAGAGCTTATAGTTAAACAAGCCATCCCTTCATACTGGACGCGTCTACATAAGACACTGTGCGGTAGCTGAAAAATACTGCACAGTAACTCATCAGAGCATGGACAGTGCTAATATGCTACTGCATAGTATTATTAGGCTCCTGCACAGTAGGATCACCTAAAAGATGTTCACCAGTGCTACTGGGCAGTAACTCCAGTTACTGCACATTTATTTAGTACTTGTTAATGCGAGTAATATATAAAAGCTCAGTAATGACTGCACAGTAGCATCTTGTGTAGATGTGCCCACTGAGAACATTTGTTTCTAAATGGCAACAAGCAGAAACAATGTTATCTGCCCCAAGTCATTTTTTTTAATATACTAGAACTACT